AAAAAACATCAAAGGAAAATAGTTTACTTTCCTGTTTCACAACTTTTCCGCTAATGCAGAATTTTAATTTTTTAAATTACTTTTAAATTTTAGAGGCGTTGTGTCAGTTTAAAACATAGATAAAAAAAAATATTTTGCAAAAAATGTTTACTATTTCACAACTTTTTCTTAAACGCAGAATTTAAAATTTTTAAATTTTAGAAATTACATGTAAAATCGGCCCACCCTACTGTATTTTAGGCTGATTCATATTTGACCGATGTTGGTATTTTAATCATGCTGTCCCCTTATTTGTTTAAAAAAATGTATGCCAAATTTCAATGTCCCAACTAATTTTCTTTTATTGCCTGTAACAACGAGAAGCTTTCTAGATAGTGAATTTTTGCATTTAATGTATAAATTTTTTAAAATTACTAATAATTTTCTTAAAATAGATTTAAGGAACCATTATAGCTTAAGTCCTATTTTTAAAAACTTTATTACACATACATTTATATTATATACAAATTTTTTTATATAAAAGTGCTTTTTTAATTTCACCCTTACTTCCTAAGAAGTCCCAGAAGACAACTAAATGGCTTGAGCGGGTTAGGGGTATGAACGGACCGCGGGCTTAAAGTCCCCTCCGAAGGACTAATACACAATAGGACAAACACAAATAAACAGCCATACCCCTTCGAACCCACGGCCTCTTGGCTTGTAGTCAGCAGCACTGACCCCTAGTCCACCGTCGCACAGTGATCCAAAATAAAAAAAGCTGGCCAAAAGCCGAAAATTGAATTAATAATTGTGGTGTTTTGTGTATTTAAAATGGTAAGGGGACCTATTCTACGTATTAAACTACAGGGAAAATTAGGTAGCTTCGGTACTCGCATCTGTAGGTCAGTTACAATTAAGCTCCGCCAGAGTAAGTATTTCGACGCGCCATATGTGTTAAAATAATTACAAGAGTAATTCACTGCAAACAAATTATAGCGGTGTCAGTTTCCAAATCGGTGTGATGGAGGGTGATCCTAAAGGTATGTAAAATAATCTATCCCACACTTGTAAATCCTAATTTAAGATATTTTACGAGGTATAAAAATGACATTGAATAAGCAACTGTATCATATGAACATTTATCGATTCGTCCTATAAAAATCATTGAAATAGTTATCATCAAACGAGATCATATGCTGTTGTAAAATTTCAAGTTTAAATATTGATATAACAAATTAAAATCGTCAAAAATTTCTTGCGACTTTCTGCAGCATTACATTTTGTAGAGCCGCGCGTTTTTCTTTTAGTACATAACATAGGGCGGCTACTTTCTGGAAAACCAAGAAATAGAAGGGAATTTATTTTATCAGGGAATAATTAATGAAATTTTTAAAAAATTTAATGTATCAAAAGAAATGTTTTGCCAAACGATTTAAATAAGTTACAGCCCTATTAAAAAAAAAAACATAAATCCTGGGAGAATTGTCAGTGGTTCTTGGAAATATTAAACAAGTTTTTTTAAGAAGTGGTAGTCTTTTTTTTAGTTTTATTTATTTTATAATAAATATTTTGATAAAAATTTTAAATTTTAATTTTAAATTATACAGGGTGTGTCTTAGGTTTAATATCTATATAAAATGTTACAAAACCGTATTGATATTTGTATGTAGTTATAAATAAAATTTATGATAGTTTAGAATTTTTTTTTTTAATCTTTCTATAAATTTAAAAACTTTCTAAATAATTTATGTTGTTTAATCAAATTAATTTTTTTAATGCAATAAACAATATACTAAACAAAAAATCACTGGAAAACCGGAAAATGTTGAGGAAATTTGATTTAATAAAAAAGTGACTACCATTATAACAGTTTAGCCTACAATAGTTAGGCGCACGTGCCCTTTATACCCGACGTTCTCTTGAAAAAGTTCAAAATCCATGTGTAGGGTGTTTGTTTTTAACGCATTAAGTGTTTATATTTGTAAATTCAAAAATGTATCTTAAACGAAGCTAGTTACTATGTATTGAATATGTTTTTGTATAAGTGTAACCAAAAAAAAAATCTATTTTTTTTTTTTTAAATGTCGGCCATATTGGATACGGCATGTTTTTGGAATAATGGAAATCAAATTTGTTATCAGTTACCTCAAAAACCACAGGTTGCTAAATTTGAGCAATATCAGACATTTAAAAAAGAATGTCCTCCATTTTGGATCCGCTATTTTGTTTTTCGAAAAATAAATATAAAATTCGAAAAATTAGCGACCTCAAAAACCACTTGTTGCCAAATTTAAGCGATATCAGAACATTTGTTAAAAAAATGTCCGCCATATTGGATCCGCCATTTTGTTTTTGAAAAAAGGATATTAAATTCTTAATCAATGACCCTTAAAACTCTTACTGTACATCGGCGGAAATATCTGTATTGTCTAAGTGCGCACTCACCATATAAAAATATCGATGTGGCTCCCGTCCCGAGGCGGGACTTAGCTTCGATCCCGACTGACGTCACACACTGTAAATTCGTTTTTATTCCCCGAGCTTTTAAAATTGGTGTCAAGCTGGATGGCTCAGATGGTAGGGCGGTCGCTTGGCATGCGAGAGGTCCTGGGTTCGATACTAAGAAGCGGTCGAACTTTTTTTATATTTTTATTTCATAAATTTGTTGTTTCTTTGTTAAACAGTGTTCGGTTGGGTTGGTTGGTTTGTTTTAGTTTTATCGTAACATAAAATCTGCTAGAAGTTGTCAAACTTTTTTTATTTTTTTATTTTATATATTTGTTGTTTCTTTGTTAAAAAGTGTTGGGTTGTGTTGGGTAGGGTTGGGTTGGGTTGGTTTGTTTGGTTGGTTTGTTTTAGTTTTATTATAACATAACAAATCTTAAAATTATGACGTCAATCGGGACTGAACTTAAGTCCCGCCTCGGGACGGGAGCCACAGCGTAAAAATATATGGTGCCTAAATTATTTTAATTTCTTTTAATGTTGTGTGCAAGACCAATGCATTTTTATTTAATAACTTATAAAAGAAAGAGCGACTTTTATTTCTTTGCAAAACAATGGCCATAAACTGTAACCCTATCACTGGAGTCGTCTTAACCAAAACAAAACAAAAAGTTCAAACCGAAAGAAAAACTAAAGGTACCTACGCAGTCTTAACAAGTTTTCGTCAGTTCTTAATTTAATAAATATATTATTTTTTTGATGATTAAAAAATCATATTAACAACCAGAAAAATGCAACCGTCGGCAAACCGAAACCCGTGGGACACCGTCTGTATAGACTTAGTAGGCCCTCTGCCGAGATCCTCTAAGGGGCATTCCTACTTGCTGCTAATGCAAGACCGATTTACTAAGTGAGTGGTGTATCAGTCGCTCCGCAATACTATCGCCTTGTAACGTTTAAAACCACGGTGGGTGATTACGTTACTTTTACACGCGGCGGTTTAATTACAGAATACTATAGAAGACCGGGTACGGTACCTCTCACTCAGTCGAAGACGGGGTGGGTATGAAAGTAGTGTTATTTTAGGCGCCACGTGATTTTGCCGTACCAAGTCTATGCTAAATATGTAACGACTAAAATAAAACCACGAAACTAGATTTAGTAAATAATGTATATATATTAACAAGATAGTATTCCTATTATAGCGTAATATTTTACAAAAAGCATATAAATATTTAATATCTAAACGATATAACATATGCGTGATCACGTAAGGCGAACAGTAGTTGTAGCAATAATGATTATAATATATATATTACACAAGTCCAAACGGTTCAAGACAACGAACGTTATATTTATATACTAATATAGAGATGACACAAGACATGAAACTTTACAGATAGGTGGCAGTTCTGGGTTCCTCGGGACTTAATTAAGACGTCGCGATGCAAGGGATGCAGAAGCATCTTCTGGAGGTAGGGTAGAGCCGTTAAAGAGTAATGGCTGACATTAGTGGTGCATTATTTAAATATAAAACACTTACGGTTTGAGCGATGCTACAAAATATTAGTTGGATCTGATCAATGTGTCTGCAGAAAAGCAGGGCCCAAAAGATGGTGGGTCGGCTCTTGGTGATGCTTAGGATATTTCCAGAAAGCGGTAGCGTCCCGTAAGCTTTGATCCGGAACAATCCGATATGTGTGTGTATTTCAACAATAACCAACTAAACAATACACTACACAATTTAATAGTGCAATGGTGCCTGTAATATTCCAGTTTATACAGGGCAGCACTTTGCTTAAAAAGGACGAGCAGGAATTCAACTGTTCTACAAACCTTAAATCTGCATACTGACTGAAGTTAAAAACAAGCCAACCACAAGCGCTTGATTTGAAGACCAGGACTAAGTAGGGGTGCGCAAAACCCACTTTGCCATTTCCTTATTTACAAAAACGCCAAGATGGATTAGATTCCCTAGCAAGGTTGCTAACTGACAATCAGGGCCGGCTAAACCCGGGTGCAGCGGTTTCAAAGCACCCGGGCGCCAGAGCATAAGGGGCGGCAAAACGAAACTAAATTCGAAAGAAAAAAGGGTATCAATCAGTAAAAGTAAAAAAATGAGAGGAAGCGTCACATACGAAACTTTTGATGATTTTCTCTCGTAAGTCGAAAACTCCATGTCTTCAGTTTCCAATATATATTTAGTTCATAATTTGTTCATTGGCATATTCATATTATTAGAATATGATATCCGCGGCGGGCGGCGCTGGCGCGCCTTATAAAGAATAAACCAATAAAGATACCGACTGTCGATGTCGGTCCAGATTTAAGTAAACACCTTTTACCGGGTGCGGATGCCGCTGCGCTTTTATCTATGCCGTCTATGTGGACTATGCGGTGTAAAGGTACGGTCTATCTATTGCGTAGTCTGCGCGCGGAGTACGCATTGCGTTGTGCGCTTGCAGACTCCGCATATTGTGGTGGTCTATTTAGAGTGCGTACTGCGCAATTGGAAATTATTGTTATTTACTTTATTTATTTAGTTTTCTCTTAAAGTGTCTGCATGCACGTATATTATGGAGAATAAAAAATCATTTCTAGCTTTGTTCCTTGAAGAGGAAGAAGATGACGATTTGGTATTGCTAACATTAGATGACAGAGGTGAAATAAGTGGTTTATTAAAAAGAAAAAGAGTCAAAGGCACCTTTAATGTTTTAATTGAAAATCATTTAAAAGCTAATGACCAAAAGTTTAAAGAATATTTTAGATTAAATAAAATGCAATTCCAGCAAGTTCTTAATATCATTAGGCCTGAAATAGAAACGCCGCCAAATAGGTTTGTGCAGCAACCAATAAGTGCATATGAAAAACTAGCTGTGACTCTTAGGTAAGTAAACAATCTTTTGTTATTAAGTAGGTAGTATTTATTTAAAAAAAATTGGTTACAAGTTAAGGTTATTAATATTTTCTGAGCTTGGCGAGCTAAGTAAACTTGATTCATCAGACATAAAGTCCAAACTATTGTAACTCGCACTACTCTCGCCTCTGACTATGGTAAGGCCACGATACACATAAACCGGTATGCTGGTTATGAAACGAAAACTCGTCGACTCCGCGCATGTGACGTCACGTACGAACCAGATTCAAATGTTTTGCATAGGAATACACTATGCACAAGTGCTTTACTACCATTTATTTTGAGTTTTATCCGCAATTATTGTGTTTTTCGAGACTTAAGGTACGCACGTGAGCTTTGCATCGTTTGTCGTAAAGTTTTTACTGCTTTATTGAAAAGCAATAACTATTTACAAGCCACATACGGGAGTCTCATACCAGGTTATTTATTAGGTTTGTGTTAATTTGTTGGGCTTAATAACACTAAACTATGCAAGGGCTGTGCTGTGGCAGATTGCAAAAATTTGAATAAAAACACCAAAGGCAGTAACACGAAATATTTTCGTTTCCCAAAAAATAAAGATCTAGCAACGCAGTGGGTGAATGCATGCAAGAGAAAAGATAAAATTAATTTAAAAAACGGTAATTAAAGGCAACTTTTTATATATCCAATTTTCTGTTATGTACATATAGTAATTTTCTGTTATGTACATATGGTAATTTTCATCATAACCACATAATTTTACAGCTTGCATCTGTTCTGTGCATTTTACCGAAAGAAGTTTTGAAATACCATTAAAACAAAGGCTGCTACAGTATTGTCCAAAAAATAACAGCTTTGAGGTTAGAAAAAAGAAGATGAAGTCATTAGAAACAATTGTTAATAAACAATAATAAATAAACGATTGTTAACACACAATACAATCAAAATATTAAACACTGAAAAAGTACCAGACTGGTCACAGACCATATCACGAAGCAGAACGTGAACATTCGATTACGCGAATTAAATCAACAAATTAGTATTAATAACAAATTAGTATTAATAACAAAAAATGTTTAAATTTACTAATAATAAAAATTAAATCACAATTGTATCGAATATTTTTTTACTTGTAATACTTTTAAAACTTGCATTATTATTTTCTGTATAAATGCATTTTTATTTTATTTACATTACATTACAAAAATTCGGACTAGCGTAAGTATGTTAAATTAATTAAATAAAAATTATTTCGAAAAATAATAATAGGAAGGTAGGAAATTAATTGTTGCTTAAAATTAGTTTTAAAAGCGCTTGCTGCCAATTTAACTTTCTCTAAACATTTGTTCCAATTAATAATTGCACCCAGACCGTCCCTATATATATTTATAAATTTTCAAATATAACGTGAATTTGCAGTGCAAATAACATTTCAACCAAGTTAATAACTTGAAGTTATCCGCCAGCTTTTGGTTCGCACATGACGTCACATGGCGAGAGAGACAGCTATAACATGCGCATCAGCATACCGGTTTATGTGTATCGTGGGTAAGGCTGATAAGAATTTCGTGGCTCCTGGTGCTGTGAAATGGAACTATATTCTAAGTCGGTGATAATTTGGCAAATTTTGGCTTTTGCCTCCACTGCTAGATGTGGAGGAAAAGTCATTACAGTTTGGGCCATACTCTGAAAAAACGTCATTATGGGATTCGATTCAGATGCAGACGGAGCTGACAACAATTGACGAAATAATTCATTTCTTTCTTTTCCTCTGTTCTCTATAACTTCAAGAACACGGTCCGTCTTTTTCTTCTTGTTTGCTTCATTCTTGGGTTTGTCAAACTGTTCTAAAGATCTTTTTGGATTACTATTTTCGTCTTCTGCTTCTACCTGTTCACTTTCATCTATATCAGCTACTGTTTTTTGAAGTTGGCCAGAAACCGTAGACGAACTGTCAGAAAGATTGGTAAAAGATATAAGTAGAAAAAAATATATAAGCCAACAGTTTATGACGACCGCCTTTTTAAAATCTTACGCTTTTGCATGTGGAACTTTTCTAAGGAATGACATTTGATCCAAATACTCCCAGGTTAATCCTTTGCTGCTTGCAGCCGAACAAGTTGGTTGGTTTGATGTTAGTTTAATTTTTCTGTTATATAAATCCCTTAATGTTCGCCATCTTGTTTTACAGTCTTGGGCTAAAATGACATTAGAACTTTTTATTATTTTTAGATATGTGGCAACTGGAGAGTCTTTTCGTTCATTAGCATTTGCTTACAGAATTTCACATAACCACATAAGTTTAATCGTCAAACAAGTATTTGCAGCAATATGCAAGAAGCTGGTGCCTATTTATTTACCAGTTCCCACAGCAGAGAGCATGAGAGCTGTTGCTGAAGACTTTAGCAAAATATGGAATTTTCCTAATTGTTGCGGAACAATAGATGGAAAACATTGCTGTATAATATGTCCAAATAATACAGGTTCTTTGTATTTCAATTATAAATCTTATTTCTCCATTGTATTGCTAGCAATAGTTGACGCTAAATATAAATTCATATGTGTAGATGTGGGTTCGTACGGGAAAGAAGGCGACAGTGGAATATTTAAAAAGTCAAAGCTTTATGAGTTTTTCTCAAGCGAAGCTTATTGCATTCCAGCAGAAGCATCCTTACCAAACAGTGACATAGTTGCCACATGTTATTATAGGGGATGAAGCTTTTCCACTTTCAAAATACTTGTTACGTCCTTATCCAAAAGATCAAACTGCCGATAATCAGAAACGTATCTTTAACTACAGGCTATGTAGAGCAAGAAGAACTGTAGAAAATGCCTTTGGCATTATGTGTCAAACTTTTAGAATATTCTTTACAGCTATTGCATTTTGTTGTTTGCATAATTTGCTAAGAAACTCAAACTGTGTTCAAACAGCAAGTGAAGAAAAAGACACAATGCTTCCAACTGAAAATATGACGCCTTTAAGTAGAACTGGAGGAAATGCGTCATTAGAGGCATTTAGAACACGAGAGGAATTTAAGAATTACTTTTGTAGCAGGCAAGGAAGAGTCAATTGGCAGGATAAATTAATAAATCGAACAGACACAAACTAAAAGTGTAAATATGAATGTTTTTCATATATACATAAAACAAAAAAATTATATGGTAAACAGACAAAAACTGAAAATGTTAATGTGTTTTTAATAAATATAAAAATTATAACTTACTGCTTCTATTTATAATTTCTGCAATCTCCCGCCAAATATTATCTCGCACCATACTATCTTTATAAGTTTTTTTAGAGGCATCATATAGAGCAGGATGTCGAGACACGCTATCTATTAAAATTTCGTCCTGCTCTTTTGTGAACTTGCAAAAAATTTTCTGAGATGTCATAATAAGTATTTGCTTTTTTTTAATTAAACGTACTTCTCTCACGGAAATATTTTTAAAACCACGTGCTTTTTCCACGGAAATTTGTCTAAACTGCTGCGGACCAGTCGTCGAAATCGCCCCCCAAGCAATAGCGACGCACGGACGCAACGGACGATTTTGTTACGCATGCAGAGTGCGCACCACATAGAGCAGCCACATTAATAAACACACAAAGTAATACCTGCGGACTCCGCATTGCGTACTCCGCGTGCGGAGTACGCAGTAGATAGACCATACCTTAACTGGCGCGGCGACGGCGGCACTTTTTAGCAATGTAAATATATATGAAATTGAAATCATTAATGGTTAAGCAGCGGTTTAGTTACAGTCTATGTTTAGCTTAGCATTGGGTATTCTACTAGTTAAGACAGTGAAATAATTGAGGCACATTTAAAAATATAATAATTTTGTTTTACAAGGTAAGAAATTTTTGTTTTGCTTTAAGCTTGCTTTCGACGTATAATTTTTTTAGTAGGTACGAGATTCATAATTGTAAAATCCGGAAGTTCAAGCTTTAACTTTTAAAATTTAAAAGTCATTTTTTGTAATTAAAATTCCACTTTTAATTGTACGTCTTAAATTTCAAATGTATAAAAAATAGAAATAGATTAAAATCCAAATGAAAGAAAGATGCAAAAAATGAGTCATCAGTTATTTCTAGGCATGAAAGTATTATTTTACAAGAAAAGAAAAGATGGTCTGCGGTTTTAGAAAGAATTATTTTAGGTATTCAGTACCTGGCGAAACAAAATTTAGCACTTAGAGGCAATTCTGACTCTTTATTTCTTAAAGATAACGGAAATTTTTTACAACTTATTGAAATGATAGCTAAATTTGACCCAATTATGGCAGAATCCAATTAAATAAAAAACGCATGCCACATTATTTGGGTCATACAGTTCAAAACGAAATACTTTCCATAATGGGCGACAAAGTTAAAAAATGTATATGCTTGAACAAGCGAAATATTATTCAATTATATTAGATTGCACTCCTGATGTTAGCCATCAGGAGCAAATTACCGTTATTTTAAGATTTGTCATATTAAACGAGAAAGCAGCAACTGTTGAAATAAGGAAACATTTTATTGGTTTTTGCCCGATTAATGACTCTACCGGGCGAGGTTTGTGCGAGTTTTTAAAAGAGATGTTAATAAAACAAAATATTAATATTCAAAACATGCGAGAACAAGAATACGACAACGGGGCTAATATGAAGGGAAAAAATAACGGTTTACAAAAACACATTCTTGATATCAATCCGAGAGCATTTTTTATACCTTGCGCATCCCACACGCTCAATTTAATTTAACACAACACGTTAATGATGCTGCAAAAGTCACAAATGAAGTTTTAATTTTTTTTTCGATTGTTCAGCAAATTTATGTTTTTTTGTCTTCATCTACGCAGAGATGGCATGTTTTAACACAACACGTTAGTAGTATCACTATAAAACCCCTGTCTGATACAAGATGGGAAAGTCGCGTAGAAGCATTAAAGCCCCTAAGACATATTCTACCTGAAATCTATGACAAGCTCCAAATTTGACTCAAACACAAAACATGAGGCCATCTCTCT